GGCCTGGGTTCATTCCCAGTCGGCGCCGCCGGGATGTTCTGAGGCATAAAATCTCTGATCACGCCTTCCTTTAAGTAAGTAAAGCCGTTGGTCCCCGGTTCATGTGTTGATGGGTCGATATGTAGGGTACAGGTGTGAGAGCTGCCTCCCTGGCGTCGGTAGCATTGGTGCTCAGCACGGAAAACAAGATCGACGGAAAAAAAATCTAGGAAAAAAAGTATCTGGGTTACAGTTTATGTAAATATCAAACTTACTATTGCTAACGATTAACCAATGGTAAACTGAAATATGGGTGAGGCCTTATGCTATTGTTAAGATCAAGGAATGAATAAATTTAATTTTCACACTTCCAATATAATTCTTCCATACAGTTCAAGTGGATCAATTCAGTAGTTTTCACTCTGATCTGATTTATGCACAATATACTAGAATATAAACCAATGAATAGAATCTAAACCAAGGAATGTAAACTGATTTTTGATACTTGTAATCGCTAACCATAGTTCTTTGTACTTCTATTGATGTTAAATGATCTCATCTGTTCAGTTGAAAATGATCACTTGGCTAAAGTGACGCAACCGCGTACGCCTGCGCTTACTGTCAGTGATCAGACGAGGGGTTTGCCACAGTCGATTCGGAGCGGTTCGAACACATATTGAAACGTCAATTGCGTTTATGACCAAAGCGTGAGCTTATGACGTTTCTAGGGGAATGTTTTCCGTACTAACATCCCAGAATACTTAATGTACAAAGTCTTTCAGATTTTCCCCATTATCGACTTTCCATTCATACTCAGGCCATATCAATTCAAGTATACATCACTCAGCAACATTAATGAAGCTCCCAAAGGCAATCTGTTATGCAAAATAGCAAAAAAAAAATTTTGCAAATCTTCTGATAAATAAGACTTGGATGCGCAGTCGCATCCAATGCCATATTTTCTATTTTTACTTAGTTGACTAGAGCGAGGCACCTCATGGAGATAGGTACACAAATGATGTTATCATACTAGGATAAGCCAAATGTAAACTAATATATAAGTGGGAAGTGACAATAAATCTATACTCAGGGCTTAGTACGTACCCAGAAAGGCTGTTAGTCCATTTGAGTTTTGTTTAAGTGAAATACGTCTCAAGGGGATCTTTGCATTTTGAGGGTCTTCTTTACAATTTTGGCGTTTTTATGTCCAATTTCGATGTTTATTAGGCGATAAATATACGTTTATATTTATGTCAATTTTTGGCAATTAATAGAAAGGTTAGTTATATGTAGTATTTTTATGCATTTTCGAAAGATTTTAAAAGGCGTTTTTAGAGTGTTTACGACCATAAAGTTCGATTAACTTAAAATCTGGACGCAAGAAAGCAACTCTATCTCGATATTGTTTTGATGAAATAAAACAGTTGAGCAGCCATAATAAAGGTTTTTATTGCACTTTCAGGAAAAATATCAACAGCCTTACTCCGATTTGGATTGGATGAAATGGCGCACTTTGCTTGAAATACCTCGCATCATCTGTTGGACACTCTGTTCGTCAACTTGAGTGGCCATTTTATTCCACCATATCTTCATCTCTTAAGCATCCTGAGTCACTTTTCCAGTCTTTTTCAGCTTCCGTTTAACATCTACCCAATATATCTCGATTGGGCGAACTTCAGGGCAATTGGGTGGGTTGAGGTCTTTTTCGATGAAATCCACCCTGTTGTCACGGTACTACTGAAGTGTCTCTCGACTGTAGTGGCAGCTAGCCAAACCTGGCCAAAATTTTACAGGGTCTTTGTGTGCTTTGATGAATGGTAGAATGCATAATTCATAGCTTGCCACATCAGAAATTTTGTAGCGAACTTATTAGCAAAAACGAATTTATATTTTTGGGGACATCTCCTCGAGCCATGACCACATAAAACTTTTGCCCGGGAAGCTGCCCAAAGTATATCTTTACAAACGTTTCGTCGTCCATCAATATGCATCCTGGGTTCCTCGTGAACACTTCTCTGTATAACATCCGAGCGCCTGTTTTGGACATTCGGTTCTGTTTCAGTGTCCGGTTTGGCTGCTTGTTGGCACGATAACAATGATAGCCTTCGCGTAGACGGATCCTCCGGACGGTGCTTTTGTTGGAATTGTGTTTTGTGACTATGTCGCCATCAGAGAGTCCTGGGTTTGCTCTAATTGTTCTCAATACCTTCCAATGCAGTTGCCGATCGTAAGTTCAACTACGAAGCTTACTGTGGTCCTTCCGAACAATAGATTTCCGAAAACGTTTGAGAACACTGCACACGGTAGTTTTAGCCAAATTCAACGATTTCGCAATTTTTGAACCTGACCACGTTTGATTTTCAACGTGGATGTCCAAAATTAACTTCCTTCTTTGGGCTTCCATCTGTCACAACTTTTTTAAATCTTAATGAATCGTACCACTACTAACTATTACCACTGAAATAGGAGAGCTTTCCAGCAGGGCGTCTAGATTTTAAGTGAATCGAGCCTAAAGCACTAAGTATGTTGCCTTTAGATAGTTTAAGATGGTTGTTGCCAGGTTGTTGGTAGTAAATCCTCCATTGGACCCACGATGTCTTGATCATACAAAGGAACAAGTTAGAGTGATGAGCCTATCAAAAGGGTACTAGTTTCAGGACATTTCATTCAAGTTTTACCAGACAGCCAGACCGGATGTTGATCCTCATCCAGCAAACCATCTACAATTTGGACTACTGCGCTGGAACTTTGGTTGGTAGCTTGATACAGATTCCCTAGGTCACTCGGTGAGATCGTTCTTATTATCTTTATTTATCTATTTAAATTTCACTTAAGCTTATCGTTTACCAAAACGAACCCAACCCTTTTACCCAACATCCCAGTGATTCCTCGTGGAAGTGCAGAAGATTTTTCGGCTTCCATCAAAGCGAGTGTCACGTCAACACATTCCTATCCATTCCTTTCTTGACCTGTGTTCGGGCGCGGCCGGCGATGGTATTGCCTAGTTTGAGATCACCAGTTTTTACACATTGAGGATGATTGCTAGTCCCAAGCATTTGTCTATTGGTTCTCTGTGTAATTACAGCTGGTCTGGCAATAACAAAGTAGCAACCGTGGGCGGTCAATCATGCTCATTAAGACTTATTGTCAGAGGAAAGTATCAAATTAAGAAAAACATACATACATACGTCAAATAAAATGTTCAATAACTGTTATCTGCCAAAAAAAACTACTCGTGTTTTAAAAAAAGGAGTCGATTTCAAGAGTGCACAATATCTTTCGAGTATTTCAGTAAGACTAATCAATTTTAATTTAGTTGCTTTACTCAGCTTATTGCCTTTCCGACATTTGATCATTTGATTTTTTGATCCACTAAAAGATTCGGCAATTTAAACCTTTTTTTTTGTTTTGTCCATTTGAACCTTTAGTCCATTTGGCCTTGTGTCCATTTCAACTATTTGTCCCTTAACATTTCTTTCGACGTTCTGCCCATTCAACCTTTTGTCCAATCCGTCATTTTGTCTTTACATATTAAATTTATCGTGTTGTCCATTTAGATCTGTTGTACATTAGATATTTTGTCGCCCAACGCCAGTAGAAGTAAATATCGAGATAATTGGCTGTTGAAAATTTTACGATATTTTCATTCGACCTTTTATTCATTTATATATTGCCTTTCAACCTTTAGTCCTTTGACGAAGCTAGTTCTTGAACATTTATCACTCTAATAAACATTGAATTCGTGAATAAAATATGTATTTCAGTGAACTGTGACGAAATTTGTCACGTGTAGTCCCCAAACCTAGTATTTTGTCATGAATTAAAAAAAAAAAACAATATTAAATATTTAGAATATTCAGATACTTCGAAACACAAATTTAAATCATCATGGTAAAAAGTTAATTGTTAATTACTGAAATGGCAAGCGAAGCAGTGAAGCGTCCACATATTTAGAGTCATAAAAAGGAACCAGTGTTGCGACCCATAGATTGGGAAACAGTTAGTAAATCGTTTTGTCTCAGGTTCAGAAGGATGTAATGTCGACATATTTTAATGATTTATGTGTCATTATATGTAGTAGAACTTTTGAAATACCTTTTAAGCCAAGGCTTCACAATCAACTAGTGAAGTTAAACAGAGCCTGTAATTACAAAAAAAAAGTTTGCTTGCATAATTTTTATTAGTTTCTCAAGATTTTATCTGAGAATCAATTACTCAGTAATAGTTCAAATCGCTATCCCTACTCCAATCTACATGTACAAGTTTAAAGTTCTTTAAAAAAAAATCTTTATGCTTTACGCAAAACTCTTCTCAAGCGTCCTTCGGCATGCTCATCAAAATGGAACTCTTCGGAATTTTCTTAACTTTTATTTTTTTTTCTTTTCGTTTCTCCATTTTCTTTATTAACTTTAGAAAACGATTATTTTCTCGGAATTTCTCAGAAAAGTTCTCTTCTCCGTTAAACTCCTTAAACTAACTTAGATTTTTTTGTGAAGTTTGCTTCACAACTCTCTTGGAATTCTTCTAAGAATTCCTTAGGACGTAATATCAGAATTACCCAGTAGTTTTCAATGGGCCTGAACTGGGGACAATTGGGTGGATTGAAGGTTTTTGGAACAAACTGTTGTCATTGTACCATTGTTGTACTTCCTGGCTGTAGTGAAAACTCACAAGATCCGGCCAAAATGTCACCGGACCACCATGTGACTGGATAAACCTCCGAGTTTATCATTTTCTCAGAGGCGAAAACTCGAAAACCTGGTATTCTGCTTGAGTGATCGATTTGGTTGCCTGCTGGCGCGGTAATTCGCTGCACTGTACTACGGGTGGCATCATACTTTTTACTCAAATCGCGATCGGACATACCTGGGTTGCTTCTGTTGGGCCTCATGACATTTCCATGGAGCTGACGGTTGGCAGTTCCACTGCGGCGTTTATTTTGAGGCTTCCGATTCATCGTCAAGGTTTCCCTGTACGTTTTGAGCACGCTTCATACGGTGTTTCTAGGAAAATTCAATACTTTAGCCAGCTTGGCCGCGGACGACGATGGATTTTCCAGGTGACTGCGAACGATTTTTTTTTCTACGCTCCATACAGACTGTCGTGATCGGATCGAGGTTTCCAGCCTCGGTTACTGCTACACGAATTCGCAATGCTGTGCGCAATGCGCAATGGCTTCTATTCCTGCTGCTGCTGCCGCTTCTGCTGCCGCTTCTGCTGCCGCTTCTGCTGCCGCTTCTGCTGCCGCTTCTGCTGCCGCTTCTGCTGCCGCTTCTGCTGCCGCTTCTGCTGCCGCTTCTGCTGCCGCTTCTGCTGCCGCTTCTGCTGCCGCTTCTGCTGCCGCTTCTGCTGCCGCTTCTGCTGCCGCTTCTGCTGCCGCTTCTGCTGCCGCTTGTGCTGCCGCTTCTGCTGCCGCTTCTGCTACCGCTTCTGCTGCCGCTTCTGCTGCCGCTTCTGCTGCCGCTTCTGCTGCCGCTTCTGCTGCCGCTTCTGCTGCCGCTTCTGCTGCCGCTTCTGCTGCCGCTTCTGCTGCCGCTTCTGCTGCCGCTTCTGCTGCCGCTTCTGCTGCCGCTTCTGCTGCCGCTTCTGCTGCCGCTTCTGCTGCCGCTTCTGCTGCCGCTTCTGCTGCCGCTTCTGCTGCCGCTTCTGCTGCCGCTTCTGCTGCCGCTTCTGCTGCCGCTTCTGCTGCCGCTTCTGCTGCCGCTTCTGCTGCCGCTTCTGCTGCCGCTTCTGCTGCCGCTTCTGCTGCCGCTTCTGCTGCCGCTTCTGCTGCCGCTTCTGCTGCCGCTTCTGCTGCCGCTTCTGCTGCCGCTTCTGCTGCCGCTTCTGCTGCCGCTTCTGCTGATGCTTCTGCTGCCGCTTCTGCTGATGCTTCTGCTGCTGCTCTTCCATCTTCTTCAAAATTCGTAACAAGAATGTCCTCCACGATTAATAGTAGTAAAATTTTGTTTATTTCTGTTAATTATGATTTTACATTGTTTTAACATTTTAATTGATTAGCCTATCAGGCTTTTCATCTTTGTTTAATTTGGTATTCTAATTAACGTATTCACGTTTTTCGACTAGTCTACAGAATGCCCCTTGCGGGTGTGTTAAGTTTGCATTGAAAAAAAAAATTAATAACCTACCTAACTACGAGCATAACTTAGCCTAACGTGCTAGATCACGTATGATCTGATGAATTGATCTCAGACAGGTGTCTCTGAACCTTTCCAAGATAAAACTCTCCGTTCTTCCAATGACTGAATTCCAGACAGGATGTGGATCTCAGAATTTTTAATTCGTGGGGGACTATTTAGGATCATTCTAAGGATCTTGTTCAGGATCATTTGGAGTTTGAGGTGATGACATTTGGCGCAACTATCTCAGAATGTCCTCCAGGAGCTAAAGTAGCCCGTATTTATACCCAACGTATTTTTAATCCGTTTCCCCATTGGCTGATAGCTGTGTCGGGATTTCCCCTCACGATGTTTCACGCCAAAGAGATTTTACTCAAATTGAGTGTTTCATTACTTAACAGTATCTTTTTTATACCTTCAAATAAAGCTATGATCTTTTATTATTATTATTCTACTCAATCTACCACAGTGACTGTCTCCAAAACAAGAGCGTTTTATGAAATGAATAAATACACTGTTATTGTTATTGCTGTTGTCAACAAATATACGTCAAAAGCTTCCGGAAACATCCGCTAGGAGTGCTGCAATAAACAAAAGAGTTTGTTCCATTACTAAGTGGGCCATGGCTTAGGTAGCTCAAGTAGTCTTTCAGTATTGCCAACCCGAGAAAACAGACTGTTATGATTACAGTTGGTAAACTCTCGATTCAAAAAGTTTTATTCGATCCCAATATTTTTAATGATTCCAGTAGTTTTTTTTTAATTGGCTCGATAAATTTAACCGATAAATAATTCCGTTATATTAGACTGCTCTCTGGTGACAGTATGTTTATTCTTTATTGAACGTTCAGCTGGTTTATAGTTAGTGAAAGTACTGTATCCGCTGTTAATAAGATCAAAATCAGCTGTCCAATATTTCATGTTATAAATCTCATGGAAATTATAGCTCAAATAACTTATGCCATAAACATCGAGTAAAAATGAATGTTTCACCTCATCCGCACCGTCTGATCGGTTACCACAAGTGACCCACTAAAGTTCACCCCATTTCACTCTGAGCTTCGATAAGAACACTTGCCAGTCGTTGGAAATTCGGCCCAATCCAGTTGCATTACTACCCCCCCTCCGAAGACAGGCAAGTCTCACTTTCAACTCGGTTATGGACGATGACGTGCATGTGCATTGCACACATTGCGCAGCCCTGTAATAAAATTTCACGGTTCGAAAGTTCCCTGAAATAAAGACAAAAAATCGACTTTTTCGACTGCTTCTTCTTCGCGCCGTGAAGGTTTCAGTTTTTTTTTACGTATTTTGGGTGTTCGCGTGAGATTAATTACATAAAAACGAGGAAAATTATTTGCATTTCTGCTGGTGCAGTGTAAAATTTGCGTTGTGGTGCATCATGTTTCGTCGGTTGAAATTGTTTGTTTTGTTTTTTATTGCCGTTTTAGTAGCTCCGGCAAGACCAATTACAAATTTATTGGGCCCATCGAATTTGTTAGCTTTGGATGGTAAATGGCTCTCACGTGGGGGAAAATGCACCAGAACCATTAAGGTAACGTTCCAATTTTACCTTCCTTCTTGGATGGTTGTCGGGTGAGTGGTTGGTAATTAATAATCTATGTATTCCGATCGTTTTTTAACCGTATGGTACTGCGCATTAAGTACTCACGGTAAATGTAACCCTATCGCTCATATGAATGAGAGGTTACGTCAGTACCGCATCGATCGAAATCTCTGATCGTCTACGACGATGGTGGCGCGAATGTATACCTACTTACTAGGCACATGTTGTGAAGCCCAAAGCACGCGCTCCGGTCCATAGGAGAGCGGGTACTATTCTAAGAATGTGCCATTGGAACGCACCTTAAAATGATTTCCAAGATCGTGCAAGTGGAAAAATGAGGACTCGCCGTGAGTCGTTTGGGATGGAGGCGCATGCAGTGGAAGACCTCCGTCGGTGACTACGGAGACTCTGGCGAAGGGTGAGAAGAGTGAGAAAACAATTGAATTGTCGCAATTAATTTGATGCCGATGTCGATATGGAGGAATGATAATTGATTCAAGGCGGGATGGTATTTCGGTTCGGATTAGAAGTGTTTGGTTTGTTTAGCTACTTGAAACATTGGAGACTGAAGTTATTATAGTATAAATCAAATAATGTAACTTCGCTGACCTCGTTCGCGTTGGTTTTGAACAGTTGAAGAGGACATCACTAAACGCCCATAGAGGCTGGAAAAATTACTTAATTTTCTTACTAATCCAATGGGTGCTGTGCGGTGCCTGTTGTATAGTTTTATGCGTTCAGTTTGTACGACCTCTCAATTTTTAATTTTTTTATAAAGCCACTTAAACACTCTTGGGTCATTCGTGACTTGTCTTGTGACTTGATGCCACAGTTATGATTTTTATATTGTATATTCCAAATAAAAAATATTGTTTATGTTCATAGAGTGTATATAATCCTTTTCCTTTGTCCTTCTCCTTCTAATTTTTCTCTTCTCTTTTCAGAAAGCGAGTAATGGCGATATAACCATAAGCCATAAAAGACTAGGACAAGAGTTAGTGCTCATGTCCCAACCGTCAGAGGAAAATGGAGCATCACTTAATCTTTCTGTCAGAAGCTTCTAACTAACAACCAATCATATAATTACTAAAAATATATCGTACGGTACGAGGTGTCCTCGTTTTATTTATTTATGGGATTCTGAACCATTCTGAACTAAAGCATTACCTTTAGCATTACCATCGAGCAAGTTTCACAATATCGTAGATGGTACGAATTCAAAAGTATTAGAGCAAAACGGATATCTATTACTGGACAGATAGTAAGTAGGAAATAATTACTATCTCCCAGATAAAGACATATCGCGCTCCAACAGTTATGGATTGTTCTGGCCACATCCTTACAACTGGTAGGGATAGGAAAGGTATGTTAGTCCAACATTTACTTAAGAAAGATGCAGAGAACTCTACAACCCCTCATAAATGTCTCGGGAATTTAGGAATTATGTTAGTAGGGAAGAAAAGCCATAGGATTCACCCAGTCAGTGTTGCTGGCAAATGCAGATTTTTTATAAATGTTGAAATTGCTGTCCAGAGCGTCTGCTGGAATATCTTCCAACCTTATCAGGTTGCTGAAATAAAATGAAGATATAACATGGTGAACTCACCATCGTTGTCATACCCGTAGCTAATTAAAAGGAAGAAATTATGTTGTGTTTTATCATTTTTTTTTATTGATTGAGGGGAAAACCCGCGGGAGTGAAAATAATTCGAAGTAGAACCTCTTCTTTGTGGCTGCGAAAGAATTCTCCCATAATTTTTTTTTTTTTTTTTTTTTTTTTTTTTTTTTTTTTTCATTATAGTCACTTTAACACTCTTGGGTTATTCGTGACTTGTCCGAGGGTGAGATTTGAACTCGTGACTTTGGCGTGAGAGGCATGGATGTTAACCACTACCACTACTAACCGGGGTCGCCCCCCCCCCTCTCCCATAATTACGTTAAGCTCCGTTATATCATTTCCAGATAAATTAAACCTTCCCGCTCTAAAACGATCATTCCCAAACACATTTTGTACTGTTCATGTGTTCCTGCAGTGTTACAATTTCACCCGTACACCAAGGGACTGATACCTTCTTGTTGACTATACCTAAAGTCTCCAATATTTCGCTTACCGGTAACATCAGATCCGATGACATGAGATATTCGTCCAATAGAATAGAAAGAAAAAAATGTCCTATCTTGTGCTGCCTTTTCCTTTGTGCGCTTGCTCTCTTCTCTATTTTTTTTTATTCAAAATCACTTTCACTTGTCGAGAATCTGTTTTTTTTTACCAATCCTGCACTATGAGTTCGCATCCAAATGAGCTCAAATTTTGAGAGACTTATCAGGTCCTGATTCGAAATCGATTCAGCTCAGTGGAGAAAAATCAATATTTTGAACCACCCTACTGCATTAAAATGTTCCCGCATTCGACAGTTTGTCTCTCTTTGAATCATACTTACCTTACCAATCAGGCTAAGGCCTTGTTGTCCTCTGTTGTCCGAAGAAGTCGTCTCCACTCTACTCGATCCATGGCCACACTTCGCCAGCCTCGTAGTCTGCGTAGGGTCCGCAGGTCACCTTCTACTTGGTTGATCCATCTTGCCCGCTGCGCGCCTCTTCTTCTTGTTCCTGTTGGGTCGCTATTTATGTTATTTATGGGATTCTGAACCATCGTGTTTAAATATTTTATCTAAACAGGCTCGATGTTTTCTGAATCATCTTGCCCCTTAAATGCTGCACAGTTGGTCTGGCCGTTTTGGTGTGGGTGAAGCATCTTCGATGTTAAACATTTATCAAATAGACAAGACATATCCGGCGTAGTGGTTAACATTCGTACCTCTCACGCCAAAGCTACGAGTTCAAATCTCACCCGGACAAGTCACGAATGACCCAAGAGTGTTTAAGTGACTATAATAAAAAAATAAATAAAAATAATAAATAATATGATGTTGGTATATCCATCATTTTACAGGATTCATTCAAGAACTGGCAGTTTTGGTGTTAGATTATATTAGATTAGATTAGGCTGCTTCTCAAATTATTTATATAGATTAATTTGCCCTTTTAAGTTTCGAATGTAAAGAAGCATGTTCTACAGCAAAGTTGTAGCTGAGATAATTTAAAGCTACTTTCCAATAGAAACATTTTTTCAATCTCTTAACGTTATCATTTCTCAAATTGTTCTTATATTTTTAAAACATCCAAAGTCAATTCTGAAAAAAGCACTTTTAGGATGAGAACATTAATGGATGAAAAAAAAAAACATTTTTGCAGACAAGTAGCTTGAAATTATCTCAACTTCAACTTTGCTAAAGATTTTGTGACTTTATTTTCAGAAAATAATACCTTTTTTTTCTTATATCATCCATTTAAGACCCACCAAAATGTTAAAAAAAAGACCAAAAGAAGAAACATTCAAGTTGAAAAAGTTTACAGAAAACTCAAATTCTAGTAAACTTAAGACAAAAGCTCTCGGATTTTTATCTTGCTAAATTTACATCTTGTACTTCAGTGAACGGTGGTATCTTGTAAATTATAAGAAATATCAATTTACTTTTCTCGACAAACATGTGTATTTCAACAAGCCCAAAAAATCATCTGAAGGTGACTGTCACGGAAAATCAACTGAATTTTACAGGATCACCCAAAGTCAATAAATCTCCAAAATGAGAACGGAAAAAAAGATCGAAAGTTCACACCAGACACTTCACTTCTAAAACATAAGATAAATACACAAGGATTTTTGTCTTGCTTAATTCGCATCCTGGACCATTGTGCATTGGAAGTTTTCAAAGAATATTAAGTTGAGAGCCGGTGAAAATGACCAGTTGGACGTAATGGCCAAAGTAGAAGAGATCAAATTATCTACCTCTTCCTCTGCCACTCCCTGTTGTTGTCGTCCATCTATGCACCTCCCACTGCCATTCTGTGTACGGAGTGCTACCACTGTGCCCTTTAGTATTTGTTTTGTTTTTGTTTTGACTTTTCTGGCAGCCGTTTGATGCAGGAATTCCTTCGGTGTACATTCATCTTGCACATGAAACATTTGTTCTTGATCCCGTGTCATAGAAAATGTTTCCCTTTGGATTGAAAAAAACGTTGCGTGGATCCTCCTTCTTACAAGTGCTGCGCTGGAAGTTTCTCTCGGATGGCACGCTATACGTTTCCGTATCACTAACGCTGGATCACGATCTGGGTCCTCTGGTGGTAGATCGTACACTCGCATAGGGTAGGATGGTGCAAAACGCACCGTTTAAGCAAAATCGTCAATTGCTGGCGTATGGAAGCTAAAATCAAGAAGAAAGTAATGGTGTTTGGTTCATTACCATGTTTTCTACGAAGATCAAGTGATTTCGAACTATAGAACGATGCATTTTCATGATTTTCAAGGTATTTTATAAATTGGTTCCAATATGATAGCGGGGCAAAACGCCTGATTCATGGTGATCTGACGCCTGATGATTATTCCTTTATGTTACATCAGAAATAAGGTCGCAATAGAGTGTTAAGCTGTGATTCATTAAGTAAAACATCTAAAAAAATACGAAAAGTGAATTAGTTCAATTTTTTGCGATATATGCTGTTAAAAGCTTAATTTGAAGTCGACGATTTTAACAACTGTATCATATTTTGCACAAAATGCTATTTTCTAAGGGAATCAGTAGGTCAAAATATGATTTTATGATCAAGAATCAATTGTGAAACCTCTAGTTGAAAACAAACACAATCCGTTACCCGGAAAATGCATCTGAGGAAAAGTTATCGCTGTTTTTCTATAAGTGGGCATTTTACCCCAGGGGTGCATTATGGGCTGTTCTCCCTTACTGCATTGATTTTTGTGTTTTAAAATTTATGAAGACCGCCTTCTCTTCCGCAATCCAGAATGTTGCTTCCATCATCACGGGATTTACATCCAGTGCCTTCATAAAACAGCCAATTTCAGCCATGGTCGCACAATTTCAGCCATGGTTCGCACTTTTATTGCGAAAGTCAAGTCAAGTGTTTACCCTTTTTACAAATAAGGGCTATCGTTTGATAAACCAACTTTCGATCAGAGGTTTCGAACAAAATTCTGGCTTCAATATCCTGGTATTTTTACTTCGTGATCTTGATAGTTTCCTAGCTTAAGATTTTGAAAAATGGTCTAGAAATTTTTTAAAGCTCTAGACATTTTTCCAAAGATTAGTACCTGTGGGCTTCAACAGCAGCTTTAGTATTGTTTTAAATATCGAGAAAAAAATCAAGTCACTGTATCCATACCACATACCTCTCATGCCAAATTCACTAGTTCAAATCTCACCCCGGACAAGTCACAAATGACCCAAGAGCGTTAAAGTGACTAATTAAAAAAAATTAATTAAATATTTCAAATTCTTATTTTTCCGAACTAGTAATCCGGAACCAACACAATCCCAATTTCATATTTGACAATTTCCACCTCTTGATTGATATTTAATCATCTATGTATTTAACATTTGCTCACAAGTTCATTTTAGTTATTGGTTTGTGGACTTAAAAGCTATACATTGTATTGACGTCTCTGGAAATTCTGAATAAACCTCATATTTCTCAGTCCTTGAACTGAACACGGTTTTATGAAATTTGAGTATCTTTAAAAATAGAGTTAATAAAATTATACACATTACAAAATGATATCGAATAAAGCATATTGTCCGAGTTCAAGATACTATCTTAAACAGGATAGATAACCTATTTGTGCTCTTCAGAAAACTTCCCTTGAATGGAACGTATTGACTTGTAGACACGTACCTTATTAGAACTTTAATTTTAATAATTGATTTGAATGTATGTTGTTTATCGATCTTTAGATCTACAGCCCATGTACTTTTTCGTACTGATATCAGTCATTTTGGTATATCTGCATTCGTTAGCTGCAAGGGTTGGCTGTTTCCAATCCCACCTCTGCATCTCATGGAAAATCTTGCCATTAGCATGCTTGACCCCTCATATGTGGTCACATTCAATTATCGCTTTCGTGATGATATATTTATCATCTCCCATCGTCATCGCCGCATCACGTCCATAAATTGCAATCACATGTTTTCTCGTCACAATAAAAACACAGTTCCATTTCGCGCGTTCAAATGCTGATTGTTTTAGCACTATTTTAACCTTCTCCTCTTCTTACTTTATTTCCAGACAAAGACCTGTGCGTTGCTTCGTCCCAGAAAAAGGTAAGTTTGCAATGGTCACTGTTAATGACGAACCCATGTTGAACAGTGAAATCACATTTAAAACTGGAGTATGCTATTATGGCACCAACCGTTTCGCGTGGAATAATCTCAGAGACATCTATTTCCCAAAATTCAACAACACACTGCACTGATGGAAAGCATTTTTTTTAGTTAGTGCGTGAATAAGTAACCGATCCCAGCGAGGGCTTTCAATTTAAGCTACCTACGGGAAATTTTTTTTTTATGGCGAATCGAGTTCTGACGGGGCGCGGACGATTAAAAGCAGCAGATAAATTTCACGGCTTTAATCACTACAATTAATGCTAAAAGCTTGAACGGTGCCTGCGCACTGGTTGGCAGCCGCTAAACCGCACGTATAGCTGTGTAGTGTCTCGCGAAATGGTTAATATATCTCAAGCAAAAGGCTGTACGACGGCGTGGTGACATTAACCAATTTTTCGACTTTCAGCGTTTTCGAGTTCAAAATCTCATTTTCGAATCAAACAATTAGCAATCAAAGTACCGTTTATATTCTTCCATATTTCCTCGAAATTTCAACGCTCGTGTGAATTTAAGAAACGTAGCGTAGCTGGAAGCAATTCCTGCTCCCTACGGCAGCAGTAGCAGTAGTCCCTTTCAAATTGTGGGTCAAGTGCAGTTTGCTGAAGCAAAAGATTTTGTTTTTTGCAATTGTTCCTCAGTGGTGATAATACGTGTCGTATGTTGTTTGCGGACCTACCTCTGCATATTTTATGCACAATTCGTGGGTTCACGCCTTTACGTCTTGTTCACCGCCGCTGGCGGCCACAAAGTTGGGTCACTTGAGTGGATCTCAATGGTCACTTGCATTTTCTCCTCCCTCTCTCTGGGCTGACTATACGCATTTGCGTTTCCTAATTTAGTGGGGTGTAATTTTAATGGATACGAATAGGTGTCATTAATTTGGATGATGGTTTATTTACGGTTCTTAATGCAACCTTTCACTCCGTGATGTAAATATGCCGTAGGATGTAATTTTCTTCTGATATCTTGCGGATTTTCGAATGCAGACATGGTTGAGGGAGTTTTGTAAATGAATAAAAGTAGGTCCACGGCGAATAGCTCATAAATAATTATTTTTGACGCGTCCTTCTCCGATTTGCATGAAACTTTACATATTTTTTTTATTCTGAGAAATCATTCACATTTTAGTAAAAATTCTGCCATGTTGGATCTAGTGTTTGTTTTGAAAATGGTGTCTTTCACATTTTTCAATAAAATGTAGCACGAAAACTTCACTTCTGATCGAAATGCCGTCTGAGACAAAGTTGTTGAGAAAAGTAAAGTCTTTCTTGAAAAATATACACAGTATTTGTTTTTAGTAATTATGAGTAAAAATACCAAAAAAAGTGTTAAAAGCTCAAATATCTCAAAAACTATATCTTCAATTTTAATAAATGTTGTTTATTAAAAAACTCATGAACCAAGTACCGTGTGCCCCGTAACGTGGGTAGATCACCTTTTCGTGGTACGTTACGGGATGTAAAATCTACCACCGATTCCTAGCCTTGACTGCTTCAAACTAGGGGAACAGGATTTTTCAGTAATCAAAGGAACACATCTTAGTCCTTGTTACTTTTTATGCCTTGTTGATAGTGACAAGACTCGGCTTTGTCTACCGAGGATGATCTTGAAACAAGGAAAAAAATGAGTTAGTTGTCTTCATCTATGTGATTCCTAATCTTCTATTCGTTGCTCCCTAGTTTGAAGTGGTTAAGACTAGGGTTCTGATGCATGGTCATTATCGTGCCTAAATTTTATTGCTAAGGAATCCAATTATGACTGACAAAGGGGCGCGCCTTTGGAGGGTGTTTCAACACTCCGAAGGGTATAAATAGCGGGACCTTTCAATTAGAGTCGGATCCTTGCGATAAATGCAAGAGTGGTTTCACATCGTTCCAGAATCACGCACCGCTGCTTCAGGAATGCGATCATCTGCTCATACTCAGGAAGCTCGGACTGGTTGATTGAAGCCTCCCAGAGTTCACAAGTCTGGTCGTCTGTCGCATGCTGCAACAGCAACATCGGAATATGCGTGCGACTTTTGTTCCGGCCAGCACCAGAATTTCAAATGCTCGACTTTTCAAAGGATGACCGTAGACCAGCGCCAAGACAAGCTGAAAGCGACGAATCTGTGCTTCAATTGCCTGAGGAAGGGCCACCGTAGTGCAGCGTGTCCAAGCAATAAATCCTGCGGAAAGTGTTCCAAAAAGCACCACACTCTAGTTCATTTCGAGCAACGGGAGAAACCTGAAGTAAGAACGAGTGAGCCGCCTAAGCCAGCCGAAGTAGATCCAGTACCAGCAGTGGCGGATCAGCCTGTGAATGCTTCCTGTTCCAGCGTGTTTCGTTCACCAAGCAAGCAGGTGTTCCTAATGACAGCGATGGTCATTCTGCGTTTTAAAGGAGGCCACACTCACCAGGTTCGAGCACTGCTGGATTCTGGATCACAGATCAATTTGCTGTCGGAGTCCGTGGTGAGGAAATTAAACCTGCCGAAATTCCCAGCTAATGTTCCTGTAGTCGGTGTAGGAGGTACGCGTTCCGAGATACGCCATCGAACGGTGGTGAGAATGACATCCAACCACAGCAACTTCACTGCCAATGTTGATTGTCTCGTCACACCGAAGGTGACTGGTACCATTCCGTCGGCAAATGTTAGAGTGGATTCCTGGCACATTCCATCCGGTGTACTGTTGGCCGATGCTTCATTCAACCGTCCACGAGAAGTGGAAATGCTGATTGGTGCCGAACATTTCTTCAACATTCTGAAACAAGGCCAAATCAAACTTGCCGATCACCTGCCTACCTTGTACGAAACGCAGTTCGGATGGGTCGTGGCTGGCTCGTACGAGGAAATGCAAGAAAATTCTTTAGTATGTGTCAATCTTGCTGTAACCGATGGATTGGAAGCATGCTTGCAGCGGTTTTTCGACCAAGAGGAAATCGCTGAACCAACAATGATGACGAGTGAAGAAGAACGTTTCGAAGAACACTTTCAACAGACTTATCGTCGTAATGAAGATGGACGATTTGTTGTTCAGCTGCCATTCCGTGAATCAGTGGACCAGTTGAAAAGTTCCAGATCCCTGGCGTTGAAACGATTCCTGTTGTTGGAGAAAAGATTGGCGCGAGATCCTGACCTGAAGGCTCAGTATGCGAAGTTCATCGACGAATACCAATCGTTGGGTCACTGCCGTGAAGTAAGGGAGGAAGAAGATCCTCCTGGTCTGCAATCGTACTATCTGCCGCATCACTGTGTCTTCAAGCCATCCAGTAGCAGCACAAAGTTTCGTGTTGTGTTTGACGCAACAGCCAAAGCGAGTAAACTGTCCCTGAATGACGTACTAATGACTGGAACCAGCAGCCAAAGTGACCTGTTCAGCATCGTACTACGTTTTCGAACCCATACCTACGTTTTCACCGTAGACGTATCCAAAATGTACCGACAAATTCTCGTTGATCCCTCCCAGACTCGGTACCAGAGAATCTTCTGGCGAGGACACCTGTCGGAAGTACTAAAGGTCTTGGAGTTATTGACCGTTACCTACGGTACATCAGCGGCGTCGTTTCTCGCTGTGAGATCACTTATCCCGTGATGAGAGTGAGGATTATCCAGAAGCGGCCGAAGTTATCCTGAATGATTCCTATATGGACGACATTCTGTCTGGTTCGGATTCAATTGAGTCAACCAAGAAGTTACGTCGTGATTTGGAGGAGTTGATGCTGAAAGGTGGATTTCCAATTCGAAAGTGGTGTTCCAACTCAGAAGATGTGCTTGAAGGAATTCCTGAAGGAAATCGAGAGACCCTAGTGCCCATCTAGGACTCCAGCGCAAATGAAGTAATCAAGGCTTTGGGACTTCTGTGGGATCCAAAGAAAGATCCTGTTCTTCAAGTCGTCTGAACCAACGGATAACGAAGACAAACCAACGAAGCGGCGTGTCCTGTCCCAAATAGCGAAGTTATTTGATCCATTGGGATTAGTGTCACCAGTGATCGTCGAAGCAAAGATGATCATGCAGTGCCTGTGGGCTACCAACCTTGGATGGGATGAACCTATGGAAGGTGAGTTACTCCAGCGATGGACAGAGTTCCAGACATCATTGAGCCACCTCAACAATTTCAAGATTCCAAGATGCGTTGTGGTTCCTGATACGGAAACAATGGAGATTCATGGTTTCGCTGATGCCTCCAAATGTGCGTATGGCGCATGTCTAATCTTTTATGCAGCAAATCCAAGGTAGCTCCCCTTCGTGAGTTGACCATCCCTCGACTAGAGTTGTGTGCCGCTCAACTGTTAGCCAAGCTGGTGAATAAGGTGATCCCGACGTTAAAACTGGAGATCCGCGAAATCAGATTGTGGTCCGATAGTCAAATAGCCTTGGCTTGGATAAGGAAACCTTTGCATCGGCTGCAAGTCTTCATTCGCAACCGAGTGGCTGAAATCAACAAACTGACCAAACACTGCCATTGGAGCTACGTCAAAACGGATGAAAACCCGGCGGACATCGTATTCCGAGGAATGAAACCAACCCTGTTAAACAAATGTCAGCTGTGGTGGAACGGTCCAGTTTTTCTTCGTGAAGTCACCTATAGGATGGAGCCGATAGAAGAGATTCCCGACGACCTGATTCCTGAACTAAAAACTGTGGTCATCGCAAACCCGATAGTGAAGAAACTCGATACTAGTTTTGAACGGTTCGATTCATTCTACAAGCTGCAGCGTGTTTACGCTCACATAGCACGCCTCGTTCGCCGTATGCGAACTCCTAAGGATAAGCGAGATTCCTGTGGACGATTGACCGTGCAGGACATGCGTAAGGCGACAAGTTACATTATCCGTGTTCTTCAACAAAACGAACTACATGAGGAGATCCAGTGTGTCCAACGTGGTGAAATTCCAAGGCGTCTGGTCGCATTGCAACCATTCATAGACAAGGACGGTTTCCTACGAGTCGG